AACAAAAGATTACAATGAAAAGAATGCAATTTGCAGAGACAGCTAACAAGCCATTTATTTTATTTATCTCAAAATTTCCTTTCTTCTAAAATAATCCTAATTATTTATTACATTTGATGATCGCATTACTTTCTACATCCAATTATGATGCCGCTGTATATCCACCAATTGAAATTCGTTTACTACAAATTCATTTTCACCATAAAATTCCAAATATTCCAAAAGCTTACTCGAGTTATTCGAACAAATTACTGTTTGAATGAGTCTCAAGAGGAAGAAGATATAACATCTTTTTTCCCTTTCCTTCGAGAAAGCGCTGACTCTCAATTGCCCTTCGAAAAGTTTTCACCTTTTTCATCTCTAAACTTTATTATTGTTTCAAATGCAAGTTCCTATGCAGGTGATAACCGACAATGCGCATTATTAATCAATTGATATTATCACAATTCAAAGCAGACCAGTTCTAAATGGCACATTTTGCAGTACGGTTCGGTGAAAGGTGCTTAGGCTCGACCAAAGACTGGTTGTTAAATATGCATCCTGCTAAGCGCCGCTCTTCTTGAGTCATTAACGTGTAAATTATGCGAAATAGATCGCAAGCAAATGCATGGCTTTCGTGTATATTGCGCGAATTGTTAAAGTCGTTTCCGTTGTAAACATTACGTCGAACAGTGCTATAGGCAAATAATTGTTCATCTTGACAGACTTTAAGTGGACTATTTAAAGATGAATAAATTAACGTGTTTTGTCAGTAAGTGTATCCGCTACGTAGTAAACAAAAGCAATATCAGTAACCAGGAATAATACGACTAATTGTAAGATATACTATAAGTTAAACTGTACTATAAATATAATTATATATTCACTGAAAAAAATTTCTGGTTAAAAATAAACGAAATAGAAGATTTCGATTATACCAAAATTTTAGTTATCACAACTAAAATTATAATAGATCCAATCAAAAAATTCTGATTTATCATTTTCAATCAGAATTGAAATTAATGCAATCAGACTCTTTTTCTACAATACAATGAAAAGAAAATGATGTTGTTTCAACGGTATTATTTTAATTAAAAATAATTTTGTTAATTCATAAAATAACACCGTTAATGAAACCAATTTTATTTTAATAATATTTTATTTGTTTTATTAATATCGTTCTTAAATTAACAAGATTATTTTCGATTAAAATAATGCTGATAAAACATTTTTTTCTTTCAGTGCAGAGAATATAACATGTAATTATACAACATTACATAATTACAAAAATAATCATTATCACAATTTTGTTAAGTATCCTTAATATGAATAAGCATGTATTTAAAGTTTTGTATTCAAAGAAGTAATTGGAAAAAAAAAATGTTTTACGTCATTAATTTTAAGTCTCGAATTATGAGATTTTATGGCACATTTGATAAAATATTTCCATAAATTAAAATTAAAACAGTCATTACAGTCGGGCATCCAAGGCAAAATCTTCTTTATTACGTAATTTAAATTGATTTCTAAACTAACATTCCTGACAATTCCATAATTGGAGACATTTGCGTCGCGTAGAGAAGTAAGCATGATTAAAAGACGCGAGTACATTCGCCTCAACTCTGACTTTTACCTTCGTTTTCTGTTTCAAGAATTTCGTGATCTTGACGATTGGATTCGGCATCTTTGACTTCGGCATCCTAGATCACTCGCGCTACTTTCAATGAACACTAAAATTCGCGGTCAGCACCTTTTCCCTGAATTTCGATCTTTCTTTCCTTCGTTTACAAGTAAAAAATCGTGTGAAAGTCGTTTACATTGTGCCTCACGCACTAATTGTATTTTTTCGAGGAACTCAAAGTTTCTTTTGAAAAAGCAAAGAGATAATCGGGTGAATAAACGTAACTTAATTTTTTTTCTAATGTAATGTTCTTTGAAAAATCACAGTGAAACCTTGCTCAATATTGCCATTTAATATTCTGATGAGTTAACTAGTTTAATCAAAACAACGTTAAGATATTCAATATTACTTGGCCTTACTGCATACTAGTTATGTTATCTAGTCTTTTTATTTATACTGGCAAGTCAATTGAGTAAGAGAACTTTACTTTACGAGGACTGAAGCCGTACTGGAGCTTTCGGAGTAAATCTAATACATTCATATAAGTGAAGAGCGAGAGGAGGGGAGTAGAAAACGAGTGACGTATATACTTCGACAGATGCTTTCCTCACGACTGCGCATCCTCATTTGCGCAGCACGTGTTACTTATTCTAAAAATCTCTCGTGATCTTCAATCTCCTTATACTGTTGTGAACAAGAATCATTTTCCGTGGACTCAAATCATCGTTAATTTGGGCAAGATTAAGAAAACAATTATGTATATTAATTCAACTTTTCAAAATTCTGTATAGAGTGGAAAAACATAATCTTGAAAAATATGTTATTTTATAGCTTTTAAGCTAGTCACTATTCTTTAATAGTCATTTACGGTTGCTTGAGTGTATTTATTTCGTGAAGACTACTCAGCTTTATTTTACATTTATCTTTGTCTTTACCTAGTTGTAAATTTATTTTTAATTAGTTCTACAAGTAACTCGGAAGTAATTATTCTTATCTTTAATTATATATATATATCTTGCAAGCATCCATCAGTTTATACTGATAAAATTAATATAACTTTCAATGTATTTCTTCGGAAAGTTTTCCGCAGAATGGTATACCGTTACTTTGTGGATAAGAGTAGAGTTAAGCGAAATCTAAGTCAACATATTTTTAAGCGCCAAATTATGTCTGGCTTTACGATATACACCGCGCGAGTGTCCAAAAATAAGTGAAAAAAATGCTTGAAGCTTGACATTTTATCGTTTATTTTTGAACGGTCAAAAATATTCCAGGACAGAAAAATACTTTAGTCGCGAGTGGATTATGATACTTTTGTTAATAATGATCTTTTTAAATTAGTAACATTATTCGTTCTGACTTTCCACCTCGCTTTCCACAAATTTGAATTACTTTTGCATGAATAATAATTCGAAGTGTATAAACTTCATTGTATCAATTTTTTGTACTACTTTATTGAATATGTTAGTCTCAATAAATTTTTTAATTTAATTTTTTTACTACACCTATATCATTTCTGTCATCAATAAATTTATGTGTAATTTTGTTACATAAAGAGAGTAAAGTAAACAAGTGTGAATAAAAAAAATATTCTTCGAATTTACATCAGAAAAATACATTAAATCAATCTTCATCTGGAATCGATATCTGATTACGATAAGTATTAGTCATATTTCTTTTCGGCTACCAAATTTGTTTTTATCTCAATAAAATCATTATTACTACCTATTTCACAATAGAATACAATGTATTAACATATTAATAAATCTTCATTATTTTATAAAATAATACATTTAAAAATTAAGAAACAAAGTTTATATAATTTAACCTAACATTTTCATCAGAAAAAAAAATTCCTGCAAATAATTAAGTGTGTGAAAGATAAGCGCCCATTTTCCTAATAAAAGTTATTGCATCTGTGTCAATTTACACCGACTGTGTCAATTCTCATCAATAATTTATCGATATTATGCAAGTGGCGACTAGTTCAGAGTTTGACTCTTGACACAAGTTGGCTTACATTATTGCACGCTTACATCACGCAAAGTATACGCAGCATTTATTACGCACGTAAACCTCATTCTTCCATAAACAAATTAGAAACTGATCGTCCACCACCTTTCCATAAGGAAGCGTTATTAAATGCTTTTTAACGATAGAGAGAGAGATTCTATTACCGTCAGATATTTTCTTTAAGAGAATATAAACAGTCAAGGGAATGAGAGAGACTTTCCGTTCTTTTATGCTCTAACTAATTATATTGCGTTTCTCTACTTTGTATCCACACTCACAACACAACACGATGCTGTCTATTACCATTTCGCCTTGGAATCGATAATCTTTATCGTCTTCGACGCAGTACCGATTTGCATAAAGCTGCATGTATAAGAATCGACTAAATATGGAAAGTGTGTTCTGCAAGTATTTCGAATCGCTCACAGCGTGACAGAAATCTGCGTAAACGAAAACTGTTGAAACGTATTATGAGATATATAAATATATATAGAGAGAGAGAAAACAAGACGGTAATAATAATGAGATACGATAAAAACATAATACATGCGCGAGATGGAGAGTTTGAACAAGTGCATGCTGCACATTCATCTAGATTCTAGTTGAGAATATATTCTACGACCAGGAGGAACAGGTGCATGCAGTTTGTTTTCGGCGAGTGATGTGAGATTCGTCGAGATAAGAATCGGAAGATAAACCTAGCTCAAATAAGATCCAAATACTAACAATAAGAGTGAATTAAACGAATTATTACTAAAAGATGTTCCTGGTATATTGGTCTGTACATTATTGTTATGAATCATAGGACGGGAATGAGACAGCAAGAGTGTGAACAACAAGATCGTAAAGAATTCTTTACATACTTTATCTCGTATCATGAAAATTAACAAATTACTAAGGAACGTATTATATTCCCTAGTGATATTATAATTGAAAAATTGTTAATATACTTATTCTATAACAAAAAAAGAAAATTGTCCTAATCTTAATAACATTTTTCTAGCTGTTGTTGAGTTTAAGACAATTTTATCATTATTTTTTTTGTTACAGAATAAGTTCTTTCTAACTAACAACAATCTTTCAATAATAATATTGTTAAATATTTCAGAACTGAGTCCTCAGTCGTGGTAATCGAATGTACCGACATGAACAATCGAAGCGGGCACAAAGCGAGCTGAAAAAGTCAGCTAAAAAAAAGAAAGAAAAAGGACATCAAATAGGCACGGCCGCAACATCGCGTGACAACGTCAGGTGCACCCGAGAGCTAACAAGGTTGTCTAGGGTGCGGCAGTGTTATCTAAAAGGTGCATTGTTCAACATCGAGCAATTAGGGTGCCTAATGATAGATATCATCGATCACCGGGGAGGTGGGCGGAGTGATCGGTACCTCCGAATCCTGGATCTGCTCGGAATCGGCCGATGTGCTCGAGGTCTTCAGGATGCTGTACAGCTTTACGTAGGGGGCCTTGATCAGCTGTCGGCCAATAGAATCGGCCGTGTTTAGCAAATATCCTCGATCGCGGCATCATTGACATACATCGAGTTCCGTGCGATCCTCGCGTCGAAAATCAACAGCAGCCGGCGCGTTTGATGACAATCGTGACAACAAACGCCGGAATAGAGTAGCCTTTGATGTTACTATCGATAACAATGGATTGCACGCGATTTCGCGAAACATTTAACGTAGCTCGGCACTATTCGATAGTTAGTCGACACGAGGATCGGGTTATCAGCGAAATTAGAAATGTTCGCAAAAGTGATCTTTGCGCTTTGAGAAATATCAAACATAGTAATCTCTTTTTCTTCTACGAATTATGCGATACTGCAAAATTTGAAATTAGCGATTTCATCACATCAAATCTAAAGTCAATTTTTCTGCAAGAATTTTAAATGAAGATCGTGATCGTCAACTCGATTTTCCGCATTAAATATTTACGACATTGATGCAAGACTCGAATTTCTGTTAAAGTATAGATTTTAAATAACTGCAGACAATAACGACAGACTTATAAATGATGAATAAAATTTGAAGTTGATCGGCAAAGTAAAGCTCTTATTCTTATATATAACTTATCAAGGACAAAAGTTTCAAGACTCTTCGGTCTTTAGTAGCAACTTTGTAACACAGTCTCTACTTAGATATTAGAAAAGTGTAACGGGACACTCAGCGACATCCTGTCGCACATTGACAGTCACGGTACTCACCTCCCAGGACTCTCTTGTCAATTCGCTGATGTCGTCACCTTGTCCATCGCGAGCCTTGCTCTCCTCCGTGGAATCCGCGCCTTCGCCACTTTCGTGGGGTGACAGTTCCGGCGACAGGTCAGTGTCGGTATCGGACAGGATGTAGCCGCGTTCTCGCCAGTAGTTCTCATCCAGCTCGCCGTACAGGTTCGGCACCCATGCATGAATGAACCTATACAGATCGTCCACTCTGCAAAGAGAAAAAAAAGAAACGATATATACATCAATTACATTGTTCGGTGATGCCGAGCAAGTTTCAAAATATTCGTCCCAAATTCAATATTTATTATTAACTTATTTATCATGAATTAAATACTACAAGTAAACAATTTTTTACAGAAATTTTCAATTGAAACTTGACGTATTGTACATGCATGTCCCAATATGCATGCTGCCCTTAACATATTTCATGTCGAGCCAATTTTAAGTGACTTGACTTGACCACTGCACCACTTAAAACAAAATAAGTACACTGAGAAAAAAATAGTTTAAATTTAAATAAATATTTATTTAAATACTGCCAACTAAATATTTACTTACAATAAATAAATTTACTTAATAAAAAGAAGTAATTGTTAAATCAATGTTTTTTTGTACCAAATAAATATATTTTTATATTTAATAAATATTTAGTTGGTACTGTTCAAATAAATATTCATTGAAACTTAGGATATTTTTTTCTCAGTGAATATACTCGGGAATATATAAAGAAAGAAAAAACAAAGCGTTTCTAAAAAAAATGTAAGCAACGCAAATAGACTAAAGTCGTGCGATAATTAACACATTTAGTGCCGCGTCAATTTTTAATGACTCGACCATGCCGTGGAAATCACTAATGACCTACGCTATTTTTATACGTTTGTTAAATTTGTTAAATAACATGTATTTCATAATGATTTCAAAAATTATTATTATAAAATAAAAGATCTAATAAACCCATCACATATATTATAATTATCTATTCACATATGATATCAAAAATTATTTTATAATTACGTTACTATTTATTGTCAAAGTATAAAAAAACGAAACGGAAAATTCAGCGTGAGTCACTGATAATCTATGCAGCACGAAACTTATTTAATGAACGCACAGCTACGTGCAAACGCAGACAAGTTACGAAGAACCACACATCATCAAATGGAAATGAAGCAAAGTTAACATTAAGTTCTGTTACAAATTGGGTAATTAAGCGTCAGAGATGTACGGAATGTTGCAATTGCAACAGGTTTATGGGAATGAAGTAGTAACGCAAAAATGTGTGTAGAATTAGTTTGCACGGTTCCTCCTGGAAAAAAATGTCAAAGGACGAGCCTCGTACTGGACGATCCTTGACAGGCAGAAATTTTCTATAGATAGGTAGAAATTTTATGTAGGATGATGCAAATCATTTCTCGGTTAAAATGCAGTTCGTCTGCAATTAATCAGTCGAGAATTATTTGCTATCAGCTGCCTCGTATGTCGGATGGTGTCAGAGTTTTTATCAAGTTTGCGTTACTTCGTCATTCCCGTAAACCTGTTGCAACGTTTCGTGCATCTTCGACGCTGTTTAATTTGTAACAGAACTTAATGTTAACTCTTTGCTCCATTTTCATTTGATAATATTTGTTCTTCGTAACTTGTCTGCGTTTGCACTGTGCATTTATTAAAAGCAGATGTGCAGCATGTTGGAACATGTTTCTAGATATATCAATTTACAATAGGCTGCAATTTGCTGCATGCGTTTACATATTAAACATGAGAACGAGTATATAAAATGTAAAAAAATTCGTAATATTACCGTTATTTAGAGATAAGAGATTTATTTAAATTAGGTGAGAATTTATAATAATAAAATTTAATGATGATAGTTAAAAATAAAATTATTGGAAAGAATCTAAATATAGATCAATATTACACAGATTAAAATTTAATATTTTTGTTCCTATACGAGCTACATATGTTTTTTATTTGCGTTACGTTCACGATGTTTTTTCAACCAGACAATAATTTTTCATATCAATCCAAAAATAAATTGTACAGTCAGAAGCAATGAGATTGCGATACTTTTTTTTCGATGGGTTTCGAAATGCAGCTTACTCACCGAGCGATTGGTTCTTATTTGTGAATTCAAGAATAACAACCAATTGCTCGGTGAGTAAACTGCATACCGAAACCCATCGAAAAAAAGTGTTGCAACCTCATTGCTTCTGACTGTACAAGAGGAGATAATTTCGAGATCTTATTTAAAAAAATTTTAATTTAAAACTGAAACAGTCTATATAAACAAAATTCAATTATAATGTAAGAGAGAAATTATCAATAAATTTAATGGAATAATTTAAAAAACAGATCGACATCATAGATTATAAAATTTAACATTTTTTTGCTATGCAACATACGTGTGACATTTCCAATTCGCGTATTTTTTTCAATCACAGATTCAAGAATAAATTGTACAAAGAGAGATTCAAAAACTCTTTAGTTTTCTAAATTTTAATTTGAAACTAAACAAGAATTTATAAATTATCTCTCTTTGTACAATTATGATGCATGCATTATAAAGAAAATTCAACAATAATATAAGCTAAAGATAAATTTATTGCATCAAAAAATTAAAAAACAGATTTTTAAAAATAGATTGACATCATGGATGAAACTGTAATATTTTTGCAATTACGCGAAAACTATATAAAAACGTAACCTTGCTCCCGTGTTCAACGTTACGTACGTACATAATAAAGATATCGGAGTAGTTAATATTTTTACTACTATATGAGACATATATGTGTTGGCATCTTTAATTCACATTATTTCTTTTTCGACTAGAAAATGATTTTTTATATCGATCCAAAAATAAGTAATACAAAAAGAGATAATTTTATAATTCTTAGTTTTAGGCCCAGTTTCACAACTTACGGTTAACTCTTAACCGAGGTTCAATTTATTTCTCATCTTTTTCCAATTCTAGAATTGAAAGAGATAATGAATAAGTTGAACCTCGGTTAAAAGTTAACCGTCAGTTGTGAAACTGAGCCTTAGAGATTTTAATTGGAAATTAGATAAGAATTTATAAACAAAATTCAACGATGATGCAAATTGAAGATAAAATTATTGTAGCGTAATAAAATAAATAATAAATTAAAATTTAATTTTTTTGCTATATGAAACCTAGATATATGTGTGTGATTCGCGTTAATCCGCAACTTTGTTTTCGAAAAACCGAAAAATAATTATTCATACCAATCTATAAGAATAAATTGTGCAAAGAGGGTTAATTTTATAGCTCTTAGTTTTAGAAATTTTACGGTTTGAAACTACATAAGAGTTTACAAACAAAATTCAATAATGCATAATGCGGCGTTTCGCGACTTGTTCTTGCGTCGCAGCCGTGTCGCACACTGTGTTTTACCTGCGATGCACGAAGGGTATCACGCTTGTCATCGCTCCTTTCACGTGGCGGTCGTAAATAAAATTCAGCATACCGCCGATCGCGCTCATCGTTCCATTCATCGCCGCGTCGTAGGCGGGAGACGGATGGGAGAAACGGCGAATAATGAGAAGCGCGGCGTGGACTAGCCAACTCAAAGTATCACGTTGCGCGCGACGAAATTATCAGACTGTCGCGGTGTATCAGTGATCGCTATATTCGCTATCAGTGCTCTCCGTTTCTAACCTCCTGACAATTCCAGTAATATATGAGCGTTTCTCGCCGTAATACTTTTTTATTTACGCGCGACACGTCGACGATTGATTTGCGGCAGGCTGTCCCTCGACGGAGCCGCCGGGATACGTAACGCGAGACACTTTGCGATACGCGAACACACGTCGCGTACGTGGAGAACGACCGGAAAACGGAGTAGTTACCAGATACGTCGCGAACGTCGACAGGCATATTCGCGTACATATGTCACGTGCCGCTGATTTGCTCGGTGCACCTGCACTTTTATTTTATACGTTCTCGCGGAACGTTGCTCGCAGTATCGCGCCGATATGATTGTTTCAGCTTTTTTTTACCAGTCAAGGCTTTAAACTGCTCCTCGCAGTTTTTCTTGCTATCGTTCCTGAGAATGTAGAACCTAACAAATTCAAAACTCACTTTAAAACAGAAAGGTTTTGCTGAAATATCTAAAAATTTAGCTAGATATGAATTTGAAAATAATTTTGTTAAACTAGTAAAAATTATATAGAACGTTCAAGCTGGTTGTTAGAATATCAAAACTTTTTGCAGTTTTGCTCATCATGAGTTCCCTAAATAATTATTTCGATGGCTCAATAATTATTTTCAAATCTGTATATCTAAATTTTTAGGTACTTCAGCAAAGTCATTCTTTCCATGAGTTTTCGTCGCATATTTTCGAAGATAAAAATTATAAAATTATCTCTCTCTTACAATTCATTCGTGGATTGATATGAATACAGAAAGAATGATTTCAAATTAACTAAAAATGTAGTTAGATACATATCTGAAAATAATTTTGTTGGATCGTTAAAATAATTACGTAGGAATCTCAAGCATTTTGATGGTTCAACAAAATTCTTTTCAAATCTATATCTAGCTAAATATTTAGATATTTCGGCGAAACCACCCTTTTCGTGAAAAATTATTCTCCGGTCGTTAGTGCGACACAAAGTTTAATTCAACTCGGGATATCGTTATTAGAAATCGCAAATGTAACGCAAAAAAACATCACATATGTACGTATCTCTCGCTTAATAAAAATATTAAATCTTAATCTACCGACTTGTTTTCTCCAATAACTTTATCTTCAGGTTATATCATCGTTGAATTTTATTTAATGTTATCTAGTTTCGAACTAAAAGGTCTCGCCATCGCAATAAAGCGAGATTATGAGATATATTTTTCTTAACATTTGTATTATACACAAAAAAGATATGCAATAATAGATTAACTGATAAATGTGTATTCAATGGTATTTTTTTTAGCAATACACAACCCGTTGAATTCCAATTGAAATTTTTTATCGTAGAAAATCTTTGCTCGTGATATTTAAATTTAAAAATCGACAATCCGATAAATATTAGAATTGAAAATATTAGAAATGAGAAGAATTTTTTAATACTAGAACTGCGACTATGACATTTTAAACCCATCTGATAGTTTTTCTTTTCCAGTTAATTTGGATTTGCACATGGAGCTTTAAATTTTTGTAATTTTTCATAAATAATTATAGTTAATTACAAATAATTTTACTTTTAGGATGATTACCCTCTCTCGTAAAAAGCCAAATTAACCTTGAACCGTGATTAGGTTAATTTAGACCCGCGGTTCTATATTAAAGAAGTTATCAGATTACACGATATTATATGCGTATCATCTCTTATTAAAAAAATATATATTAAACACGCAAAAAAAAGTTTTATTTCATCATTTGTTGACATAGATGTATATCAATTTTCTTCTAACACTTACAAACTTATAATGATAATATTTTGGCAATTTAAAATCTATCTGATAATATAAGAGCGATTACCGGAACTTCAGATTGATACGAGGAAACTAGGTTATCGATAAATCTTAACATATACGAACGGCCAAGATGATCTTAATATTCATGCGTATTGTCCGATACAATCGCGATACTAGGAAATAGCTGATGACATTTGTAAACAAATGACAAGAGGGCTGTTAACGAGATTTGCGATATAAATATATAATATGTAATATATGTATGCGAATTCCAAATTTTGAGAATCGCGATCATTGCCTTAATTAAACAACAACACGCATTTAAAGGGCGCATTAGAAAACACTACTCGAGTATCTCCGAATATCATTTTAATCTTTTGTTTAGTATTCGGTAAACAACAAGGAAAATACCTTTTGAAGGCACTCGGATAATGTTTTCGAATGCAGCCAAAGGGGGGACATGTGTCTCTTTCTTTCTTTCTTTTAAAATTAAAACACATTTACTTTAGAGATACGATAAATAAATATTAGGTGTTGAACTTAATTCCTGCCGCTCGCTTAATTTAAAACAATGTTCCACACCTTTAAAAAATCTAAAAAAAAATTTTTGTAATGTAATATGCTAAAAAGTTTGACACACTTTTTAGCTTATTACATTAAAAACATTTTTTTTTTTAGATTTTTTAAAGGTGTGGAACATTGTTTTAAATTAAGCGAGCGGCAGGAATTAACATTTTTTTTTTAGATTTTTTAAAGGTGTGGAACATTGTTTTAAATTAAGCGAGCGGCAGGAATTAAGTTCAACACCTAATATATAGATATATAGATATATCTCGGTGGTCTAAAGGCTTGGGACGCTCGCACGGAATGCAAGAGATCCGGGTTCGATTCCCAGCCGAGGTAATATTTTTCGCAATAAGTTTATTACAGATTTTTAAGATTAAATTTGGGAAATTTGGGGGGATTATTAATATTTTGATTACATGTTGAAAGTCCGACAACCATATCGGCACACAAATATAATTTCTGAAATTAATTCATTTAAATGAATATATATAATAGTTCAACATCTTGTGTCTGAATAACATTCAGACCGTAGTGGCGCTTCGTATTTAATGTTTCTAACATAAACGATCTTATTTCCAATTTCATTATTGTAAATATATAGATTTAAAAAAACAAAACTAATGATTTTAATATAATCCTAAGTTACTTCTCGAAAAATTGTAGTGCGTTCTCGTCATTCTTTAAATTCAGTGTACTAAGTTTATGTTTCACACATACAAGCAAAGTATTCATTATTTCATTATTCTAATGGTTTTTAACCACATGTGACAACAAGAAAAACACTGGCAGCCGACGCGCAACAAAACCTTGATCGAGCATCAGCGAGCGTATAAATAGAAGTTCCGGCGAAAATCTATTTTGCGTGTCTTGCGACGAAGCACGTGTCCGGTCGTAACGCGTTCTGGATGCCGTTCTTTCGTGGAGATGGCCGTACGATAAACCGGCCATATGTACAAAAATAACACAGCAAACATTTTCGCCCGAAGAAAATTTACCGGTGTGTTTTTATCCGAGAAACGTCACCGTCGAATATTTATTCATGCACGATCAAGTGATTGACTTATCGCGTACAACGCAGCGCCTATAAATCGTTTCCCGACAACAACTCGTTAGGCGTTTAAAAAGAAAACCCGTCGAGCCTGTTGTATAAAATTGCAGGAATGCAGGAACCTCAAAAAATTCCGATCTTCATGTTTTAACATGCTAAAAATAAACTGCGAAAAACAAAGAGTATAAAAAATCATATAATATCAAAAGTTATTCCATCAACAATATTTTTTTTATAAATTTGATAACATTGGAATTGTTTGGAAACATAAAAAAATTTGATCGAAAAAGTTTTGGAATTAATTCATTCAAACATTATATTTGCAAAAAGTTTTGAATATTACGATTCCTTAACTTAAAAGTAACAATAAAAGAAATAAAAGGGCTCGAGGGAATATAGGCGCTGTTCAAGGTGCGCTAGTCGTTCAAGCACATCCCTCAATTATATTTGCGATTGTCACTTTTCCGATTTTCGGTCGGAGATTCCGACTTTTTAAACGAATCTCTGACTCTTCGATGAAAAAATCTCCGACTGACACTCTAAATTTTTATGACCTTTTTTATAAGTATGTATGTCGATTATCCTTCAATTTCGAATAAACTAAAAATTTCTCCGACTGAGAGAGCCAAATCTGATGATTTTTTTTTAGAGAGAGCACAAAGCATTACAGAAGAAAATAATAATTTCGACAATAATAATCGATCTTTAGCAGGATAATGGCAAAAAAGTCTCTTGCAGGAGGGCCGTTAATCTCCAGTGAAACACTAGTCAAAAGCAACCGTGATTATATTGCATAGTTTTCAATTTCTATTATCTAATTGTAAGATTGAGAAGTTCATGTACTATTTTGGTGTGTAGTGTAGATACTTTATAGATAATTACAGCGTAAATTGAAAGAATTCTATGACAGAGTTTCGAACTCTATTCGCGTATTTTACGTGCAAAATTACAATAACTCAAGGGACGAGACGTCGGTGAGAGATCAAAATGTGAGAAACAATTACCTGTTGCGTGGCACGCTGAACCAGTATTCGGGACGCAGTTTCTTTTTGCCGTAGCTCATAATTGGCGTCGATCGTGGTATCTTCTTGTCCTTGGGTCTTCCTGTTCGTAGTCTCAGGTACAATGGTGGGTCCTCGCAAGAACGAGCAGGTCGTGGAATCAGTTCTACGTAATGTGGAAAATATTTATCAGATCAATATAGATCAAGGTAAATCAGATACTTCAGTAATAAGATTTTTATAATCAACAGATTTATCTTTCCAATATAGAATCTGCAAACCCAGGCAATATGATTCACAATGTTATCATAATAAAAAAAATCTTTGCGATAAGAAGCTCGTATATATTTATAAATATGTAAGATTATTTCTTGAATTTTTTAAAGAATTGTTACCAAAATCACACGAAAAATACACAGATAGGTTAAAAACACGAATAAAATTGGAAAACGAGGCAAGCACATTACCACAAAAAAGTGAGTAGAGGGTATCAGAGTAAGAATTATCGTGTAAAAGGAATAACAATAGCAACGAGGATAGAATTGTGATAGATGAATAGTATGTACATATTGCACAAATATTGTAGAAGAGTTTGACAAATTATATAACATATGCAAGAAATGGTGATGAAATGGAAATAACCATTACAGTGATACAGTGTATGGTCGCCCGTAAGTTGCGCAAATCATGTTTAATGCATGACAATAAATAAAATCATACAAAAACATCGTTACGTTTGACAGACGTACGAAAAAGGCAACTGAAGAATTGGGAATTCGCGGCACAAGGAGAAGAGCAAGCTAATACTGTATGAACCTACCCAGGCCTTCGAGTTCGGGAAAATTAGGTGCTTGGACTAGAGGGGCAACAGAAACAAATGACATTACTGCATTAGTATGAACCTATTGCTAGCTAAATGATGAAACCCGTTGTGCTAATCTGAAATAGATAAAACATTACTGAAGAGAAAGAGAGACAGAAAGATATGATTGAGCAATCAATGCAGAAATATGCAACAATTACTATCAAAATCTATAACAATCGAACATATCACATACATTTCGCAGAAATAGTGTAAATGGCCTTAAAGATTATTATATTTGTTATTCGATTATTATAGAAAAGATTAGTACGCGAAAAATCTGAAATTCTATGCTAAGTATGCTTTCAAATGACAATTATTAAAAGATCATTTAAATTGGAACAATACGTCCATCACATGCAATATGGCACAAAGGGTTTCAAGATTCTGAAGGTATATTTTGTAAAGAAATATGTTATGAAAAGTGCTTGTTTTCAGTTAAATCTTTTTCCTTACATACCATTTGATAAAATACTTATATTTATCAAAATATAAACTAAGATCGATGAAGGAAAAAATTAATTATGTAAAGGAGACCTGCATTATTCATGTTATTTTTTTCTTGAAATACTCGAATTATTATATATGTATCAAAGAAAAATAATAATATTTAACGTTTACGTAATGAAATGACGTATGAAATGATAATGATAAACAAATATGATCTAAAACAGTGATAAACTACTTTAATATACACCAAGATAAGCGCATTTGGTTATTAATCCCGGATTTGCTTGGCAGTTTAAAATTAATGATATCAATGAAATTTAGAAAATATGAAATTTTCGCGCAAATTTATAATAATTATATAGCCAAAGGCGCTCAAAAATTCTGAAACAGGGACAATAAATTGGCAAAACAACACGGTTTAAAAAGCTATCTATGCGTTTTTGGGCAAGTGCAGTGCGTGATATCTTAATCCCGTTTGCGCTAACCCCTTGTTATTAATTAATTATTTTCTATCCATATCGATACCAATATTAAATGTCATATGAAAGTAATAGCAAAGAGTTTTGTGTAAGAGGAAAATCTGTTGGAGTATGTCTTCATGATTATTAGACTATCCATTCCGATAAAACATGAAATATTTTATGGATATATCTCTATACGGTCGTGATACTTACTGTCGAAACTCACAAATAATTCCGGCATATCGTCGACCGAGACCATACTGCGGTAATCCAATCGAGGCGCCGTCGTAGAAGTTTTGCTACCTCGACTGCTATCAACGCTACTGCTGCCAGAAGATGTTAAAGGTTGCTGTCTAATAAAAGTACCCACGGAAGAACGTCTGAAAGGAAATTCGTAAAACAATGCAATTGTAATAAAGATAAAAAAAGAGTTTCTTATCAGACAACATTCTAAACGCTTCTGAATAACAAGTACATGTTAATTGTCATATCTAACTAGATTATAATACATTTGCACATCCTTATAATTCAGAAGCGATGTATATAATAACATCCATAACAATGATAATGGGAAATAACAATCAAGGTATAAGTCCAGTACAAATGACGAATAATAAATCATATGACTGCTTGAGGATATTAAACGCTGTGTTAAATTGATTATGTTTTGGCTGTAAGCGATCTGAAAAATAGTATCAACAATATCTGTTGCTCGAGTGTGTCTTTCGGCAAATAATGTGATTACCTGAAAACAGGAGCCCTCAATTCCAGAGTGTCTTCAAAATTAAAAAATAATAACAAAACAATGGAGAGATGTGTGGAAAGGAGAAACGTTGGAACAGTAGAATTCTCCGAATACTTTGACAATTGTATAATATATATATAATCTTATTTTTGTATAATATTTACATTTATAAAATTCAAATAACATAATGTTCTCTTTTCGTAATTACAACATTGAAGGAGGATTCTGCTAGAATAGAATACTTCCGAATCGACACATACGAAAGTCGATCAGATAAAAGATAGATCAGGTAATAAAAATAGAGAAATAGGAAAAAGGGGGAAACACAACAAGGTTACGATCGGGTCCAGACTCACCCAATGAGGCTTCCTGGACCAGGTGAGAAATTGCTGGAGTCCTGGGAGAGAGAGGAGGCGGTAAGCGGAGGAGTTCCGCCCGCTCTACCGCCCCCGCCACTCTCTTCGCTGGGGGTTTTAGCAAACAGGCCCGAGCTAAAGTCACTCACCAGGTTGATCGGCGAGCTTTATTCCACCACCATTACATATTCTTTGTTAGTTACATTAGAAATAATAGTGAAGCGTTAATAAATATCTAAATTCATATCGTAAGCAATATAGGCGCAACATAAACATAAATATTTAAACATAAACATCTCGGAACATCGTCACAATTGACTGCATAATAATTATCAGTCTTTTGGATGATTGGACTGATCATCTATAACATGTACCTATATTTATATATTCCTTTCAAGTTTTATATTTCGTAATGCCTTTCATACGCTAGAAGCTCTTCCTATGCAAGTAGCTAGTATATGCTACATTATAAAATCTTGTTATCCATGATGCTAGAAATCGGTTCAAGATCTCAGACGAAAAAAAAATTGACCAATCGCACTGGTCATGTGATCGAATTGTTCAAACGTAGTTTATTTTAATTCTTTCTCTGTTTGAGATCTCGGAGCGATTTATAGCATTGTGAACACAAGACTTAACACAAATGAGGCTATATCAGTTTCATAAAGATAAAGTTCATTTTATCTTCTGAAAAAGATATAATAAATGCACATGTTACACAAGGAATTACTGCTTACAAATAACCTCATTTGTATATTATATTCTATAGAAATTCGCAAAAAGCAAGTTAAAATAAAAGCGACAATTATAAATTATTCGGTTTTTTTTCCTGTGAATATGCATTTTTGCAAGAATGTTGATCATTCTTAACACAGACAAATAGAAGTGTGTAAAAAAATAAAAGCAGTTGTAAAAATGTCATATATATTTAAACACGCTAGATTATTTATCGATAATTATCAATATAATGTGACATAAATTTGTTCACCTCGAGAAGACTTTGCTGAAAACAGAGGAATGATGGGAATCCGCACTGTTTGGAAGGCTTGACATTTTGTCAGAGATGGATTTACTGCTCTCGTCATCCTTCTCTCCAGTTAAACCTTCCATCCAGGACAATGGATACGACAGACGTTTTAGCATCTAAAATGTCAAAACAAATACATAAAACATATCTATAAAAAGTATAATTCCGCATTATTATGATGCAAATGTTAAATTTAAATATGTACCTTATTCTTTCGAGTTTCCTGTTTATCATCTTCTTTGTGTTCTTCATCCTTTTCGGGCTCTTCTGCGTTACTCTCTAAGCTAAAGGACACCGAGCTGGCTTTTTTCCTGCCATTAATAGCAGAACTGGCTTCCAACGTACTTGTAACATTCGTTGGTGCTATCGTTATTGGAGGGACCCAATCCGAGGATAAAACAATATCCGCATCTGAGTAAACTTTTTTTGATGGTATAGGCTGTACTACTGGAATAGGTGGATTAGGATCACGGATATCGATACCAGAATCATGGCACGACAATTTGACTAGAGATCCTTCTTCGTCCTCAGGAATAGCATTTGATTTAGCTGGTGGTTCCGCCTGCTGTAACAATTGTTTCTAAATGTATATTTTTTATAATTGTTATACGTGTGTTATATGTATCCCAATTTCAATTTATTATATAAATTTTACTAATTCTTTATGTTATATCATGAAAGAAATATAATTACCTTATCAGAATTTAGTGAATCTTGTTGTTCGTCATCAACTGAAAATGTACTTCGATCTTTGCTAGGAACTGCCCAATGATGGTCAAGCATGGAACGTCTGCGTTCCTCTAAAGTTCTACTAGCTTGGCCGCCAGTGCAAAATTCTTTCTCATTACTTTCTTTCTCTTTCTCTTTATCTTTGGTCGAGGTTAAATTCTCCTCCTACAATAACGATATATCCGTTAAAATATAATTTTAACACTTTGCTTTATATAATAAATTGACATTGCAATAAATTGATATTACAACAAAAAAATACTTACACTCTGGAGATTGGTAGGAGTGACAAGCTCTCGCTCAAAGGCCTTTGGAAAAGCATCGCCGTCTCTCTCGGCACAGCTACACACACTTTCGCTATCGTCGCCTGCTAATTCAGGGAAATTTTCATCTTTCCCCGGAGACTGACATTTACGATTATCTATTTGAGGTTTTTTCATGTAATAAATTTCAGGTTTTTTGTCTAAATGTCCGGATTCGGTATGGGAGACCCTCATGTGTGCGATATCGTAATAAATTGCAGCGTTGACTACAAATTCCATGGGAGCAATCACTCCATAAGATTCAGCACCGTGCTCGATAACAAGAGGATCAGACACGTTTGGATCGAACATAACTGCGTTTGGCGTAACTAACAACACACCGCCAACTACACCCTAAAAGAATATTTTAATATTAGAAAATATTAAAACTCTTGTATGGAATTTATAGATATAATAAAATAGAATCTTTCCAAAATTAAAATAATTTTAGCCCAAGTTTCGATAATGTTCAGACAGCACGCATGTTAAAATTTAGACATAAGATAGCTTAAAAATGTCTTACAAACGTTTTAAAACATGATATATCCTGACATGCATGCTGCCTAGGTATTTCTTTAATTTATGTCAAAGTTTATTTATTTTATGGTATTAAAAAGTATTAAAGACAATTACCTGACCATCTGTGATATGCCTGACATTAATTTTTAGAAATCTTTCTCTGAATGGTTGTTCATCTTCATCTGCAGCCACGCTGGATGTTCCAAGAGGTGTTTTTATACGTTCCATATGGCCTGGCTTTGGTGACACTGGTCTCAAATTATCCAGAAGTTCTGTAAAACCAAACGTTGCAATAATAAGTGCGAAATAAAAACATATGTCTTAAAATACACAAGTACATGTTTCATTCTATTGATCACAAAAAGAAAATATTGACAGTTTATAAGAAATTTAATTAAAAATGCAAGTAGGATCAACTTGAACCGAAGAGCCGACAATAATGTACTCGACTGACTCCTGTAATTTTTAAAAAATTCGTTATCTGATAAAAGATAAGCTATGACACTTGTTTAAACTCCGACTGCTCATGTCGATCTAACCTCACATCCAGAATGTTGCAATGTAATTCATTATTCGTCGTAATAATGTGAGTAACGAGTCACGCGTGTACAATTCCGACGAAATCGGCAATTATACCATCCATCTCATTTGCCACAACGTCACGACGTAGCACGGGCATTATTATGCTGACATATAGGTTAGAAACGTGTTTACGCGGCTCCGCACACTGTGGTCGATCAGCTGATGAGCGCGATATACCGGGTGATTCGTGTGTACGCTCTAGAATTTGTTTGTTTCACGAGCTTTCTCGAACATTACGAATATTGCGGGCACTTGCGACGAAAGAGAGCATTGTGGTCCGCAAAAGAAAATCGAAGAACTAAAACCGGTCCGCTCCATACTTAAAATAACTATCTTTTAACTTTTTCATGTATGGTCGATCGGATACCACATTTCTATATTCGTTCATCTCGTATAATCAATAACTTGAGACGTTCTTGAATGAAGAGAGAGAGAGAGAGAGAGAGAGAGAGAGAAAACAAAAAGTACAAAAAATAAAATGGAAGAATATTGAATGAGATATTGATGATACATAGAATATTTTAAACTACATTCCGTTGGTTATTCTCACTTCTTTTCACCAATTTATTGATCTCAGGTTTTCCAACGGAAGATGTTGAGGCACTGATAGCTTTGAATATATGTGTATATACCTACATACAATATAAGTATCGAATCGTACGATTAAAGATTTCCATTTCGGAGTAAAAGACTGGTTCTCTTACGGTAAAGTATTTTTATGAAAATTGTAAAAGATATATATAATTTATTTTTTATATTTATCGTTAAAACGTTTAATACGTTATTTCAATATTATATAATGTTTTTGTCTTTATAACTTTATGAATATTGAAGCAAAAATGTCTTTGTGTTGCTGCAGTGATGACGGCAAAGGATGAATATAAAAAATGAATTCTAAAACAATAATACAGCATCAAATGTTTAAAGAAAATACATATCCTGGTATAGTAAAAAAACTGGTTTTTACTAGATTTTTTTATTTTTATTCAAAGCTTCTGGTTTTTTCAGTCATTTTTATCTTCAGACAGTGTCAATTACGCTAATAAGATATTATCTATGTTAATAACAGTATGAGCCATCACTTATTTAACTTTGAAAATCGGAGTAAAATATAAAATCTGTCATTCAAATAATTATAAGAGATAATATACTTAAATTTATCAAATATTTTAACAATGAATATTAAGAAAAATGAATTTTATATATTCTTTTATATATTTAACATAAATTCAATATATTCTTCATAAATATCATTCTGATTAAAAAGTGGTTTTTATCATTAAAAAAAACTCATTTTTTACTTGATACTCCGAAATAAATGAGCCTGTTTTTAATTTTAAGTCACATTTGTAATGCAACTGCATTTTTCGCGATGTCTGCTGTGTTGCGACCTTCCGATACGCAGATCGCAAAAGATGCAGGTTCACGATCGGCCGTGATCAACTTCATCTTTTCTCGCCTTTTCTCTCCGATCTTCTCGGCACTGCAAAACGTGACGCCGCGCACACGTGTCTCATGAATGTTGCGATCGCGTGTACATATTTCGCGTTGCAATGCGATGTGGCGGCGACGGCGGTAGTAACGGCGCCAATAGTGGCGGTGACAAAGCGTTTCCCGAAGAAGAAGAAAAAGAAGAAGACATAAATAAACTTCGAGTGCGCGTAACAATTCGCTTGGTATTGTTCCGCTAACAGACAAACAGCCAAGTAGTGAATCACGCAATTGTATAACGTCAGGACTCGAGTTTTCTATCACGCTCGACGTACGTAAACATTAATCATTTCCCTCACAAGTGCGTACAATACGAATGAACTGGTTGTCACAAATAAATAAGCTGTTCCATATTTTTAGAAATTAGATACGTGTTATGACTGTTTCTGTCAGTATACAATACACATTACGAGAAAGAGACGGACAATACAAAGCATCTCGTTTTTTCTTTCCGAGGAAAAAAATTGTATTTATTACTTTCTTAATTTATACATTGAAAACCTGCATTTCCGTTTGTTTTTTATCATTAGACCGTTCGATAAGTGCCATGTTTTAAAACAGTTGAAAAACGAAACTTACATTTATTAATTTAATTAATCCTTACACAACAATGATTTTCCTGTCTACTCCACACGATGAGCTATTCATGAATTAATTTTCATCACTTTAATAAATGTAGAAAAATTATTAAATGATTCTAACAAATATTATACTTTAACATTTTAGAAAGGTGTGTACCTGTAAGGTTGTGTATTTGAAAAAAATTATATATAAATGTTAAAATTATAGTTACTTGAGGTTTCTAGTTTTTTAAAAGAAAGAAAATTGCGACACACAAATGACCCAATCATGTATATTAAAGGTTATTGCGTAATCATTATTTTGCTTCTTTCTTGTCTGTCACCTTGAAGTCAGTTTTTCAATTTCATTTGGATAGAAGCTTTCCGGTTTTGATCTTTGAAACAAAATAAATACAGTATCAGTGCACTTCTCGCCCTGGTAAAATGAACAATAAGGTTCACGAAACGTTGGCATTAGCAACAGATCACGACATCCGTATGGTGACACAACCCGTACACCCTTTGGCACTTCAAGAAAACACCCGTGAAAGCCTCAAAAATATTAAAATAATTGAAAGATCTAGCCGCTTTATTCTATCTTTATCACTCATTTATCACATGCGAAAGGAAGATAGAAGCTTATAGAGAGTGAGCGCCTAAAACGAATGTTCTAATATATTACATAATTTTTCTGTAACTTTCTCTTTTTTATATGAACTTTTTCAATCTATTATATGTGACACACATTTTTCGAATTAACTTTCTCTTACAAAATGATTTGTGTTCAATATTCAGTTCCAAGAAAAGTATAACAATTTAAAAGTATGATAATGTAATATTCTGACAGCGATTTATGCGATGAGTAATTCCGAGCTCAAAATTATTCTAATTAGCTCGCGCGAATGTGCGGCGATGGGTAGTTCGATTGCCTACTTCTATCCATAATAATCGACAAGTGAAATGTGGGAGTTCCGCGGCTCGCCGCAGGCGACGCCGACGGGCAAATAAAACGCGAAAAGGCAATTGTGTTAGTCACAATAGTGGTGCGTATCGATCTCTCGGGATCTGCGTGACGCGGATGTGGTAACGCATTAATATTCATTCGAACGGTCGACTTTGTACGCAGATAATATCCGATATCCCAATTCTTTCCTCCGTATGTTTAGTCAGGTGAGTGCCAATCTAGCGCATATCACGCACAACGCCTGGGCGTAGCTACTCCGTGGATCCTGCTGCATTATTCATGCCCACGCTGCTACGCGTGTATCAAATCTGTCTTGCGTATTAGCATAATGCTAGACAGAACCCCGGGCGACGAATCCGACGAGAATAAGGACGAGAGCTCTATTTTAATTGCATACCCTGGTTGCGTCGTAATGGAGGAAGAAAAAAGGAGCGCTTCGTTCTTCGACGACCACCTATCACGACAGCTGGATTATGTCTTTTTAACGCAAGTAGATTTTCAACGCCGTCGAAAATATTTCTTCCTTTTACTTCGTAAGCCATTTAATATTGCATTTGACGATAAGCGTGATGAGCATAATAAGGTCGGATTATCGTTAGTAAAGTTTTAATTATCTATTCCTCGAAAGCTTGTTATTCTTACGGGCTATCTGTAATGTCATAATGATACGTAAACAAATTCCCGCTTCTCCGCTTTCGTGTTCGCTAAACAATAATATAATTTTCTCTATTCTTGGAATCATATTTTTCTTACATTAACACACCACTTTGAATGAAAATTCATCCATATAATTAAACGTTTTTTAATACTTTTTTACACGGAAAGAATAATTTTGCTCAAGTACCTATCTAAAAATTTAGCTAGATACAGATCTGAAAACACTTTTGTCGGACCATTAAAATAATTACATAGGAAATTCAAGCATGATGAATAATGTCGCAAAAAATGTTGATATTCTAACAACTAGCTTGAGCATCTTATATATTCTGACAAAATTATTCCAACAAAATTATTTTCAGGTCCCTAGATAATTTGTAGATACTTCAGCAAAACCGTTCTTTTTGTATATAGAAATTATGATGCTAAGAAAAAGAGCGTAATGTTTCGAGATTAAAATCTTTTTTCCTAGAATTCTATACCCACCATTACAAAGTCTTGAATGCACTATTTGCAGATAAAAGGACTTGCAAGTGTAACTTTTTGTTGAATATCAACTCGAAGATATCGGCTTCAGTAAACATTGCACGATAACCCAATAAGTCAGCATCTAAGAAGATTAAATAAAACGATGAAGATTACCTTTTTCTTCGGGTGGTAGGTCATCCTGAGACTCATGATCGTGGCAAGGGTCAGGGCTGGGCGCATCTGCGGCTGATCCGCCTCCCGGACGTCCTTCTCCTTTCGCCGGCACCCATAACTGTTGACCGGAATAAATGAAAGTACTTCCGAGCCTATTCAATTTGCTCAGCTCGGATGGCGTCGTATCGAATCTTGCTGCCACTGATGTAAGCGTGTCTCTATCACCCACCTATAATTACAAAAGTAAACGTGTCATTAGGCGGAGATCAATTTACAGGGAACGTCCTCTCAAAAAGAATCACTTTTTTCGCACGACCCAACGTTTCTCGCGTGTCTCATGCAAACACCGAGAAGACGTTATTCACGTTATCGTTTTCATTGTTGTTTATGAAGCTTTTTAATCGGATAATTTAAAACAAAGCAGTCAGAGTAAGTGCGCCAATTGATTGAATCTTGATTTCCTCGCCGCAAGCGAAAAAAGAATTTGAGGCGTTTCTAATTGAAACGCAGAAGCGGATACAAATTTATTGCATATACGCGTGTCATATTATCGGTGCGTATCAATTTAATAATATGACACGATATGTTTTTGCGTATCATTAGGTCTGTTTTCTGTGGCTGAACTAGTGTACACTTTTAGAACTTAAAGTGAGATAGATATACATTTAATATTTGTTTAAAGCGAGAAAGAGAGTTCTAGAACAATCTAGTGCAGGAACAGAAAACAGACCAATTGTATCACAATTTTAATTTTTTATCCGCTAAATATAAGCATATTCAGGCCTATGACGGTCAAAGCTAGATCTTTTTTGCCTAAATAATTCCCAGTGAATTATCTATATCCTATATATGTACATGCATATATATCATATTTTTGTAATTATTCAAACTGCGCGCCGAAATTTTTTTCCGGACTTTATCTAACGCAATTAAACTACTGCAATAATATCACAAGTTAAATTAAATTGACAATGTGCTGAAAACCTTAAATTGCGAAAAATGTTACCTTGGCCGGGACTTGAACCCGGACCTCTTGTATTCCGTACGAGTGTCCTAAGCCATTAGACAACCGACATTAGACAGGTCTTAGTAATATTCTTCGCAATAATCAGTATATGTAAGAACAATAACGCTTTTTTGCAGGCAGCGTGTATAACAGCGTGTAATAAATAAGATTTTTTTTATGTAACGGTATAACACTCCTATACCGATATGCAATAATGATACACAAGTCCATCTTAAGGATGTAATATATGTATTTTTTAATAAAATGAAAAAAATTACTACAAAAAATTTGATGGTAATTTAAAACTTGAATAAAAAATTATTTCAATAGAAGTACGAATATGTTTTTAAAAAATAATTAAAATAAAATAAAATATTTATTTAAATTACAAAATTGCGCTGTTAAATATAAATATTAACCTTAGGTCTATATTGGACTATTTTATATGTACATAACATTCATTTTTATATGGAAAATAAAAATTTCCAATTCCAAGTCATTTTTTACAGAGACTGTATTCTTCCGAATCTTGAATAGCCTTAAGATGTTCTTATTGTCAGAAATAACGCGTATTAGCAATCGATCTGAATTTCTTCTTTCTCACTTTTTAAAATCGAATCCGTATTTGCGCGCTAAGTGCATACAAATCTACTCGACGTAACGTTCCGGGAAGATCGCATCTGTGACAAAATCTCCACTACTCCTTGCGCATCTGAGCTTTCTCCGGTACGCGTTTTCCCGCACACGAGCGCCTGCGACAGACACGGGGCTAATGGCCCATTTACATAAGCCGACAGAAACGGCGTGCTTGAGAGTATCGGACGATAGAAAATTGAATTCCTGGAAAAAGAACCTCGGCGAGATGCGACTGCGGCATGTTTCTAATGTAAATTCGTATGCAACGACTTGCTGTAACGATGCCGCTTCGGTGTTGCACGGCCGCGGACTATTTGTCGCGGTTGCTCTCCTCTTCTTGAACAAAATCTCCCCGCGAGAAAGGGTCGAGAGTAATTCAATTAAAAAGCTCGTCTTCACGCAAACGGACGCTAATCTCACCGTCGGCAAGTCTGCCATTTTCCAGAAACATCGGCGGAAAATAGGGTTTCCGACGCTTAAAATGCGATTTATGTTTCACTGGGAAATTCGTTAATTATTCCGCGACACTTCAACCCTCTCTTCAATTGTGCGTTGTCTACCACTTTCCTAGTGCTCTCGTAACTCTATTAGGTGCCACGACACGGAAATCTTGCTTTGCTATTATCATCTTTTTCGATAAAGTTCCCTCAGGCTTTAAAGCCCTTCGTCGCTCGAACAATTAAGCCATTTACTTTCAAAGCATTTATACACAAAACCCATTTTTTTAAATACTGCAGTATCATACATACTGCAGGTTGTTCCTTTATTATTTTCTGGGAATGAGTACATAGTTCTTATTATTTCTTAGAAATACGTTTTAAAATTTTAGATGTAATTTCTTAATTCCAATATTAATGTTAAGTTATAATTACATTAGTAATTATATATTTTAATGTAATCAATTTTGAATTAATTAAGATAAATTTACTCATATTAATATAAGTTTATATAAAGTTATTCAAAAATTTCTTATTTATAATTTTTCTTTCTATAATTTTTATCTTTAATTATTTATAACTTTATATCATAATTATTCGTAGTATTAAAAAATTTTTCATTATATCTGTTTCATTTATGTACTACGTATCAGAACGCTCCATTTAATAAATTCTTTTCGAAGAATATATAACATAGAATGTAGACGTCGCTTAAATATCTGTTTTCGACATCCTTCATTCCGGATAAATATATAGAACGATGGAGATTAGATGAGTGATTAGAAAGCAGCTCAAGATCCCTCCTTTTCTTTTCTCATTCGTGGTCCCATTAGTGGTGCGGTCAAATGAGAAAAAGAACGGCTATTCGTCTAACAGAGATTAGACGCGTGGGTGACAGCAAAAGGAGGAAAAGAGATCGATTAAAACAAAAAGCAAGAATCGCAGTGATGAAGCTAAGAAGAAGAGTAAAGAAAAAAGAGCGATGGAGGGCAGGACGGGGAGGGATATTTTCTGAAACCGGGAAAAAAAAGCAAGAAGACGAGTACGATGGCCATTGTTTCAGTTTCCACGTCTTTTAGCTGCGGCTTTATAATCTTCATCTTCGTTTTCGTTGAGCGAGATGCTGCCAAATCACAAAAGATCTTCCGCGAGAGAGAAGCTTTCTATTTTCGTGTTTTTATCTCTCAAACTCACCGATTTTCCGCATAAGGCTAGAAAATTGATAATATGCAGCCTGCTTTCAGCAGTATATTGTTTCTTATCAGTTTCCTCACATCCACAGAAAACATCTTTTCACGAATACAATTGAGAAACTTTTGGTTTTGTTAATGGCAAAAATTATTGATTTCTTTAGATTTTAATTAAAATCTATTTAACTTTTAATACCTAATTCTGACAGAAATTTCAAAACTCTTTGAAGAAAAGCCAAAATTCTATCAATTGTATCGAGATTTTAAAAATCAGATGCTGACTTTTCATAAAAATCGCTCTGGTAGTCTAATGTCGTAGGTTAATCGTACCAAAGAATCGTATCAGATGCTGACTTCACAAAAATCGCTCTTAAAGTCTAATGTCATAGGTTAATTACAAGGAATTTTAGTTAAAAATTATTACGTAGCTTTCAAGTAAGAAAATTTGCTTGAATACTTTGATAAGTTAAACGGGAGCATGGATCGCTTTAACCCGACATAGTTCAAATGAAAATATGCAGCATAATTATTAAGATGGGATTTATTAAATCCCATCTAATTTAACAAAGTCATAATAACATAAAATATTTTAAATATTTTTAATTAAGTTTAGTCTTAATTACAACAATAAAAGTAGATTTCTAAAGTTGAATCGTTTCTTTCGTTACTGTGTGTCAAACGTATATTATTAAGTTATCATAATTTCGAGAAGGATTACAAGTGCTACAATTATTTAAAGAATTTTTTATCACAATGACAGAACTAAAAAAATTAAATGAAGAAAGTAAAGATTATGTTTGTAATACATAGTTTGGCATATATTTTCTTAGTGATATCAGATTAAATTGAAGTATTGCTTTCCAAGTAATACTTTGCATTAATGTTTGGTATCAATGTAACTGGAAATTATGATAACAATGATAACGTTATCAAAATTTCCAGTTACAATAGAAAAACAAATACGTCTTACTTAGATATCTCCATCCGAAAATCGATAAAATAATAAGTGTGAGCTTCGAAACTGTTGTTGCTTAATTGTGCGCGATTGTGGCGAACATTCAGGTCACCAGTATGAGGAAGATAAGAGAAATTGTCAGATTACAGACGTTAATCGATCAACGGGGTGCAAGGAAGCCGAAACGAGCGACATAAGCTAGGCTTTAATATACAGCAGGAATTGCAACCACCGTAATTATCACACAGGGATTACGCTACGCCATAGTGATTTCACTGCCGTTAAACGGGATAACGCCAGCAGCTACCGAAGGACGACGACCTATCAACGGATTAACATTACGTGGATTGCAAAAATGTATTAATGCGCATACAATCGTGAAAATCATTTATTCTTATCTTCGATCAATTCAAAGCTGATAAGTCATTTAGAAATTAATATTAAATTGTCTCCAATTTTTTCTTTTTTTCTAAATTTAGAAAAATAGATTTAAACAATAAAATCATAATATATTTCTTACATTAATATTTCTCGTTTTTAAAAAAAATTATCTGCTTTTTAAATTTATTTTTGTAAAATAAAAATTTCTTACAACATTTTTATGTGATTTTAGCTATTACTGCTTTTATTTGTTAATATATTTTAAAAACATTGTTTTGCAGGATAATTTTTTTGTATGCACTTAGTGCTCTTCTTTTATTTTTTGTTTTTTTGAGAAAATAATTTTATATTATTATGTGAATCATGAAAATGTATGTCTCATATTATGCACGGAAATTATTTCTCATAATCTTGAATTCTAATAAGCTGTTTTTAATATTAAATCCTTTTCTTTAAATTTTAAAATATTTTTCATTCTTTTCGTTATTAATGATTATATTAATTTGTGCCAATTTTCATTAATTTTAATACATGCGATGTTATAATTTATTTTATTGATATGAAACGCAATTAATTACACAAGAATTACATTGTATCGAATCAACAGAAAATCAATGAGATAATGAATGGATTCGTAAAATTGAATTTATTTACTTGGCTATTTATAATACGTTGAAGATATGATAATCAGCGATGTTTCTGCGAAATTTAGTCGTAATGCTAGTAATAATTTTTTAATTCAATTGTGGCAAGATAATTAAATAATTAATAACTACCTCTTGCCAATCTCTTTCATCAGACGAAAGACGAAATTTCCATTAAAGTTGACATTTCGAAAGAAAATGAAACGGAATGCACCGAATCATAATGACATCAAGATCAGTTAAACCTGCACGGATTTCTGCTTTGCTCTATCTTCTCCGAAGGGAATCAGGAAATGCAGCTTGTGCAACAACTCTATTTCCTCGTTGGATAAATGTCGCGCGATCTTTCGCTCCCTGAAGAGAGCCTTTCACAAGCATTGCATTAGGAACAAGTTAGGGTTAGAAGGAAGAGAGAGAAGGATGTCATTCTTCCTAGAGTGCTGCACGATCGAGAAATTTCCCTCGAGATTTGTATACATGTGCGAAATCGGCAATCGCGATCAACTTTATGATCGTTACTTTATGGCGTTATAACACAAGATATAACACAATTATCGCGAATGAAAAAAGATTGACAAAAAAACTACAAAAAATTATACTCTCAAATTTCTTTTCTAAATGTATTTTATTTACGTATCACAAGATTATATCGCGCATATATTATTTTTTATCCGTTTTTAATTTCACGGAAAGAATACTGAATCATAAAAATATAGTTAAATACCGATCAAAAAATAAATTTTGTTGACCATCAAAATAATTATGTAAAACGCTCAGCTTAAGCTGATATTCCTAAAATTGTTAAAATTTTTTACAATATTACTTATATTTGAGAATTCTACATAATTGCTTTAATGGTTCAACAAAATTATTTTGAGTATCTAAAAATTTAACTAGATACAGATCTGAAAATAATTTTATTGAACCATCATAATAATTATGCAAGAAACTATCAACAAAATTTTTTGCAGCATTGCTCATCCTATTTGAGTTTCCTCTAATACATAACTATATTTTGATGGTTCAACAAAAATTTTCAGATCTGTTATTTAGCTAAATTTTTAGATATATTTTCGATAATAAAACCGTTCTTTCCGTGAAATTGTTTGAAATAAAAGTTGAATATCTTTTGAAATTTCTTTGCACAAGGGAAAGCCAAAAGAAGCGTCTAAATATCGGACATGTCATTGAAACGGAAAGGTTCGCAGATCAGAATTCAGATCGATTCGACACGAGGTGTTCCGACGGACTTGGGCACAGTGGACGCGTGCCGCCTCGAGACCGCGATCTTTGCATACGCGCCGCTCTAGAATTCTAGCGATGCGCACAAGTACCGTCCCGCGTCTCCGAAGTTCCGGGAGCGAATGTCCGCGGTCTTTGCAAACTCGCGGCAGCCTTTCGCCACGAATACGATCCACCGGGGAGAAACTATTTCGCTAACGAGGGTCTGCGAGCGCAGGCTCTCAGTAAAGTAATTGGAATTCATGCCGAGGTGTCTCACACCGGAAAATACGCGCGCGCTCATGCTGATAACTGGGCGTTGCGGCTGATAACCCGAAGCGCCAGTGATATGTGCGGTTATCTCTTATTCTGCCATTACGATCTTGTACCTGTATAAATTTCTTCGAATTTTCGATTCTTTAATTTAATTCTTCGATTTCAACGAACACGGAATTACGCGCGCGAGTTCTGTTAAAGCTGATTTTATATACCTACGTTTAGTATGAAAAAGTGTTTCTTCAAATAGAATACTACAAATTTATCGTAAATTATTTTATCGTGTTTTGGCACTTTCTTATTTGATTTATTCATGTAGCGGGCTTGTTTAATTTATTATTATTTATATATACATCTTTCAACGTACGTTTTCTCTGTACACAGAGTGCTCCATGTAAAGTAAGTTGTTGTTTGACAAACCAATAACTCTAAAAATATTTTTCGTATGAAAAAGTTGTCCATAAGAAAGTGTCATGTATCGAGGGACCTTTCTAACTACGTAAATAAAAATTTATCTCATTTCCGTTTGGAAAAGAGGGCGAATAACTTCAAATAAATCTTCCTATAAAATATTACATATTTGGATTCTATGGGAATTTATCTGGAACATTTCTTTGAAAAATGTTTTATTAAAAGTTACAAATATTTAAACTTTGAAGTAGAATGCATTCAAACTAACGATAAAATCATAAATAAAAGGCTTTATAGTTTTTTATTTAATTTATGATGTTTTATGATTTTATTATTAGTTTGAGTACTCTCTAAAGTTTAAATGTTTATAACTTTTGATAGAAATATTTTTCAAAGAAATGTCCCAGGTAAAGTTTACTTGTTTTTTCCCTGACAATCTAAATGTGTAACATTTTATAGGAGATTCCATTTAAAATTATGAAATTACTCCTTTCAAGAGAGAGAGCCAGGGTGAATTTTTGTTTAAGTAGTTAGAAAAAAAGCTCCTCACAAATACATGAAATTTTCTCAAGAATAACTTTTTGTGTGGGACGACAAATATTTTTATAGTTATTGGCTTGTCACACAACACACACACACGCATATCTTTTCATGGGTCATCTTGTATATTATCTATTACGACAAACATTATCATATGCTTCAGTAACCGAAATGAAAGACATCCGGTTCGAATAGTTTGGAAATTCCAAATTCGAATCCTGGTTAAGGTAATATTTCTGGCAATAAATTTTTTATAATGTTTTAAAATACTAGCATTATTATCAAATCGACCAATTTAATTTGTGAGATCATTTCAGTTAATATAGCATTTATGTGATATAATCTGTGTTGCAAATTTGACAATAATCGGCGCGGACATTTTTATATAGCTGAAAGATGTATTTAAAATTTACATGTAAATATTATTAAGAACAAATATCTAGTCTCGACTATGTTTAACATTTTCTTACTCTTATTTGGTAATTATTTTATTATAAAAAAATATATAATTCTAAAAAAAAAATCACGCGATTATCTTTCGTAGTCACGTAACGGTTAAAAATGTACTGCTAGAGAATTTTAGTTTATGTAACCGAGTTTGCTTCCTTCAAAAAATTTATGCTGCTAAGCAACATTTTCTATTCCTATTTTACAATATTCCTTCATGCCTGGTCGTCAATTTCATCACAAATATTTAATCGACTCTCTTTTACGGATCTTCATTTTATATTAATAAATCGTTATACCGGAATTTCAAAACCGTTTCAAATCTCGTCTTGAATGTCCCTCTTTGGAGCGATAGCGAAGAAACAGTTATGTTACGCTACACTACTACTAAGGATAACGAATATTTATGCATTCGAGCAAAGGTTACATTTGCTCTCCTTGGCATCTAATCTTCTTGTCTCGACACTTGATTGCCCATTGGAATCGTGCAAATGAGCGCATCGTAGAGTATACTAGAATTTAATATACGCTGAATTAGGATGCTTACTATGCATACAGACGTACTTACCGTATAGGCAATAGTATTGATGGGCTGCGAGACACGGCCGTGTTTCTTTTCCTGTGTCGTGGAGCCATCTTTGCTCTCGTTATCGGAATCTATGCAGAAAAAAAAAAGATTTACACTTATGTTTTTTGAACAACGTATTGATAAACAAAGCATACCCGATGTAACATTTTATCTCGATTTGTCTATAAGATTACGCAGATATCTCCATCCATAAATATCTTACAGTTATATTTAATCCTATTTGTAAAAATAACTTGATGAAAAAAATCAGATTTCAGATTAAACGTATCTACTTCAAAGTATCAAGTCCGAAGAGATATCAAAAAAAGATACTGCACATTTATCCCGTTTTTTCAACAAATTCAAATTTACTTTTAGATAAAAATTGTGCGACTACGATGTGCTATAAAAGATAATATTACTATAAGAGTTAACATACTATATTTACATCTGTTACATAAAATAGTTAAATATAAAATGCTACACTGAGAAAAATTTCCGGGCTTTATCCATTCAAAAAGTAACAAACAGATATTTCCGATTGATTTTGATCGGATTTATAAGACTATCCGATCAAATTTATCGGATAGTCCTATAAATCCGATAAATTTGATCGGATAGTCCTAAAATTTGATCGGATAGTCTTATAAATCCGATAAAATCTATCGGAAATATCCGTTTGTTACTTTTTGAACGGACATTTTTCTCAGTGTACATATACACAGGGAGGCACAAGAATCAAATATTATACCATTCGATTTGTATATAACACATTTATTTTTAATAAAATTAGTATAGAACTGGTATAGAATTAATACCAAAGTCAATTTGAAAATTAGATAATTAAATGATATAACATTTCGTGCGCTGTCCTGTATAATATCTATGTGTCTAAAACTGAATTGTAGAATGTAGACAGAAGCAAATTTTGCTCCGGTAAGATGCATTTTGCAGCATGAAAGAGATATACGATGTTATCCTACGTATAGTATTTCCTTGATAAGGACAATGTCTAAATCTTCGTTGAGTTCACAAAACAAAGTCAACCTACGTTCCTGAGAGGAAAAAAAATAGCCGCGACGAGGTGTTAAACATTCGCGGTAGTAAGTGACGGTTAAATTTAATTTCTACGGTCCGCTTACTCGACTACATTACTCATCGCCAGTGCAGAAGACTGCACTGTAGCGACTGCGACTCAATAATAAACGAACCACCAAGCACGTGACGGCTCACGCAAAAGTCATTCTGGGGGTTGAATCTACTGCACGTAAGATAAATGCGGTTAATCATTGCCAATTTAAACATTCGTTCGGTCGCGAATGGAGAAGCATCGCGAAAATCTTACTTCAGAAGATGAACGGCTGATTGCGAAAGGCAAGGCACATTCCTATTACGATATTATTAACTTTATTTTATTATACTTAGTGACAGAATCTATCGCATTTAAAGAGACTATTTCCTCCCGATTAGATGTATATTTATTGTTAATTAATAGCATTGCGATTTCTTAATTTAATTGAAAATAATCACCACTCTCTAAATGTAGTGCTGATATAGTATCAGTCTGATACACTCATATAAAATCGATAGATATTATCAGCGCATTTATTATTATGATATTAATTGCCTTCATAAAATTAAGATACAAAAAGCCTCGAGTATTAAACTGATATTATATCGAAAAATAAATCCGGGTTGTATACCTATTTTTTCAGTACGTGCATAACGGAACACAGCCAATCATATATGTATGATTGGTATAATCGCCAAGGGCCATGAAAAATAAACATCAATGCCAGATTAGTCATACATATATATATATAATAAATGAACGACCACCTTTCCTATTATTTTTTCTGCAATGGACGGTCTAGGAATAAAATTTTCTCTATTGTATTCCACGAGCAAACGTGACAAGAGTAACGAAGAATCACGCGACGAGCAATCTGGAAGGTTTGTTTTTCTCCTCCGTGGCCTTCGATAAATGATTCAGACACTTTACTCAATTTTAACTGGCATTCAATTCACGCCATTGCGCAATAAGCTTGGGATGACTGCGAAAACGTTATTTTAACCGATACGACAGCGCGGCGCGTGGACTTGACACTTCTACAGATTTGCATATTTTATTGCATCTCACACATGTCGCAGATGGTCGCACGTGTAAAATTAATTAATATGTATTGAAGCCATTGATACAAAGCGGAATATATGTAAACCAAAATGGCTAAAATTTCTACTGCTCAAATCCGATATTATTTTACTCTATTTTATTCTATTTTTAATTGAAGAAAAATCTATTAATTTAAAGGTATCATTTAACCTCATAATACTTGAATCCATCTAAATATCTTCTTCGAAAAAGAATACAAGTTATTATACTGTATTTTTCAGGTTTCAATTATATCTTTATTTGCGGTATATTGGCATTAATTAATGATTGTAACAAAAATAAATGTAAATAAATATACGGAATAAAATAGTTATTCAAAATATAAATTTATTTAAAATATAAATTTGACAATAAAATTTGCGGTGTACAAATAGCGTGCGATTCACAAAGTAGGTATTATTCGCTCACGTTTAAAAAATAACACAGTAAATAATTTCTCTTGAACTTGCTAACAAAATGAAAATAAAACAATTTTCACGTTTAGAAATTGAAAGAAATTAAAGTAAACATTATTGAAGAGCTACTTTCAAAACAGCATTATTTACGTTACGAAGAGGCAAAGTTGACCAAGCTTTTACTTCGCGCGGACACACGAGAAACGTATAATTCACGGATGATACCTTGTACTTATTTTTAAATGTACGTCTCGACACATTAAATGTTTTTTTCCCACATTTTCCGAATACCTGTACTTGAGTGCTGAGAACTGCTTGAGAAGAGCCGCGAGTCTCCTTGCGCCACATAGTATACAACATAATCATGAAATTCTTTCTCGTAGATATGAATGTTGTTCGGCTCGTAGTCCATGTATTCCCACTGTGAGTCCATTATGATTAGACCATCAAATTCCATCGTCATTAATATTTCCAAGTCGGAGCATCATCGCATTTCTCGACTCTTTTTAAAAATTGCCGGACAGTGGATACTTCTTGCCGCCCAAACCTGTCTACGCGAACGCGTTTAATATTTTGCATAGACAGTGTCAGCGAAATAATGCACACTTCGTTTCCGTAACTGACAAATGTTAGTTGATAGTCAGCGCGAAATATAATTAGATAATGAAAAACATACGCGGGTTTTTAGTTTCATTCTCATTTTTCTTCAGTATTTTGAACTAAAATGTAATGCAATAGCTGAATAAAAAACTCACAACAACGTTAATAACACTAAATTCTCTTCAAAGTGTTTTAGTACTATTCTGAAGATTTTTTCGCACTAAACACATGTCGTAGACTTGCATAGTACTTGCATAATTGATAGAACTTGTATAGTACGTCAGGATTTTAAGTAAGTTAAGGTAAAATGAGCAAAAATAACGTTTACTGTCATTTTCAATATATTTTTACGATAAGACAAAAAATAAAGTGTTTCTGAATGCAGTATCTAAAAGTATAATTCTAAAGCTTTCTAATAGTTTTTATTTTATGATCGCATGACTTACTTTCATCAAGTTTAAATTTTAGACTTTCTGTATAATTACACATAATGAATATACAGAAAGTTTAAAATTAAACAAAAAAATTTTTCATTTTTTTCTCTTCAAAGTGCCGTAGTATATATCTCGAAAATTTTTTCTTGCTGAACACGATATCGTTGTCAGAATTTTCGTAACACATCAGGCTTTTTAGTAAATTGAAGTGAAATGGACTAAAATGCACTCCAATTTACCGTTACATCTCAATTTGCCAAAAATCCTAAAGTGCTACGTATATTCTAACGATGGCATCGTGTTCAACGCAAAAAATCTTTAGTACTATGGTACTTCAAAGAGAAAAAGTGATTCTTTTGTCTAACTGTATAATTATATGCAGAAAATCTGAAATTTAAACAGTCATAACTTGATACAAATAAGTCATACGATCATAAATCAAAAAATTAATTTTAAAAGCTCTTGAATTGTATTTTTGTACCGTAGATTTAATTTAGAAAATTTTGTGTTGTCGTAAGAAATGTTGATTGAAAATGACCAAGAACATTATTTGTGGCACGTTTTATCTAACTTTATTCCGTGTTACGCAAATTCTACCAACAATATTATGTTAAGCACGAAAAAAATCTTCGAGAAATGTACTATATCACTTTGGAGAAAGAAAAACATGATTTTCTGTCAAACAGTGTAATGAATAATATAAATTACGTAAAATTTGTTTAATAATATGATATAAACATATTTAAACAAATTTTATATAATTTATATTATCGACAAAACACAAATTAAAACTTCACAATCATAAATATAAAAGTATTTGAGCTTTTCCGATAATAGGCTACGTTAAAAGTGCATTGTAAAATGATGTTAGTAAATACTAGTTGTTCGTAACAAGTTTGACAGAGTTTCGAAGTTTTTACATTAACAAGTGACTCAAGGAAACACAATGGTATTGATTTCTTCGGCTTCTCGCTAATTTTATCTACACTCAAACGGAGCGCTCGTTACGCTCAAACGGAGCAGTGCAAAGTAGTAGCTCAACTTGCAAAAAGAGAAAAAACTGATTTCATACAAAAGCTGTCCGAACTAAAATCTACATATGAATGAAATGTGCAGTCACAGTTTACTTCGTCACTTTCCATAACCTTTTCACTTCCAGCCGTTTTTATCGGTTAAATTTAGTGTTCTGGAAAATTGAAATCTTTATATTGAAAAAATTAAATTTTAATAAATATTTATTTAAATAGTTTTAAGTTCTAAATGCCGTAAATTAAAAAAAAAATATGCAAAACACAAGTTCGAAGAAATAAAACTCGTCACATACGATAGGTATGTACATGAAACGGTGAAAGGATTAATAAATAACATGACATATGCAAACAAGTTTACTTAATTTTACCTTTTAAGATTAAAGATGTTAAATATTAAATTGTTCAAACGCCTTAAAAACATTTTATCAATTAGCATATTGTCACAGAAGGATATTA